ATCATATCATCTGCAAATAGGGAAAGCTTGACTTCTTCCTTTCCAATTTGTATCCCCTTAATCTCCTTATGTTGTCTTATTGCTCTGGCTAGAACTTCAAGTACTATATTGAATAAGTATGGGGAGAGTGGACAGCCTTGCCTCGTTCCTGATTTTAGTGGAATCTCTTTGAGTTTCTCTCCATTTAATTTGATGTTGGCTGTTGGTTTGCTGTAAATTGCCTTTATTATGTTTAGGTATGTTCCCTGTATTCCTGATTGCTCCAAGACCTTTATCATGAAGGGGTGTTGGATTTTGTTAAATGCCTTTTCTGCATCTAGTGAGATGATCATGTGTTTTTTTTCTTTGAGTTTGTTTATATGGTGTATTACATTGACGGACTTTCGTATGTTGAACCACCCTTGCATCCCTGGGATGAAGCCTACTTGATCATGGTGGATAATTGTTTTGATATGTTCTTGGAGTCTGTTTGCCAGTATTTTATTGAGTATTTTTGCATCAATGTTCATGAGGGAGATCGGTCTGTAGTTCTCTTTCTTTGTTGTATCCTTGTTTGGTTTAGGAATCAGGGTAATTGTAGCCTCATAGAAGGAGTTTGGTAATGTTCCTTCTGTTTCTATTGTGTGGAATAATTTAAAGAGTATTGGTATTAACTCTTCTTTGAAGATCTGGTAGAATTCTGCGTTGAAACTATCTGGTCCTGGGCTTTTTTTGGTTGGGAGACTTTTAATGACTGTTTCTATTTCCTTAGGGATTATTGGACTATTTAAATAGTTTATCTGGTCTTGATTTAACTTAGGTATGTGGTTCCTATCCAGAAAATTATCCATTTCTTTTAGGTTTTCCAGTTTTGTGGAGTAGAGGTTTTTGAGTATGACCTGATGATTCTCTGGATTTCCTCAATGTCTGTTGTTATGTCCCCCTTTTCATTTCTGATTTTGTTAATTTGTATGCTCTCTCTCTGTCTTTTGGTTAGTTTGGATAAGGGCTTGTGTATCTTGTTGATTTTCTCAAAGAACCAACTCTTTGTTTCATTAATTTTTGTATTGTTCTCTTTGTTTCTATTTTATTGATTTCAGCTCTCACTTTGATAATTTCCTGGCATCTATTTTTCCTGAGAGACTTTGCTTCTTCTTGTTCTAGAGCTTTCAGGTGTGCTGTTAAGTCACTAGTGTGAGATTTCTCCAACTTATTTATGTGGGCATTTAGTGCTATGAATTTCCCTCTTAGTACTGCTTTCATAGTGTCCCATAGGTTTGGATATGTGGTGTCTTCATTTTCATTGATCTCTAGGAAGTCTTTAATTTCTTTCTTTATTTCTTCCTTAACCCATTGGTGATTCAGTTGGGTATTATTCAGTTTCCATGAGATTGTAGGTTTTCTGTAGTTTTTGTTGTTGTTGAAATCCAACTTTAGACCATGGTGGTCTGATAGAACACAGGAGGTTATTCCAATTGTTTTGTGTCTGTTTAGATTTGTTTTGTGGCCAAGTATGTGGTCAATTTTAGAGAAGGTTCCATGGGGCGCTGAGAAGAAGGTATATTCTTTTTTGTTAGGATGGAATGTTCTGTAGATATCGATTAAGTCCATTTGTGTCATAACATCAGTTAAGTCCTTTATTTCTCTGTTAAGTTTCAATTTGGGAGATCTGGCCAGTGGTGAAAGTGGGGTGTTGACGTCTCCCACTATTAATGTGTGGGGTTTTATGTGTGGTTTAAGCTTTGGTAATGTTTCTTTTATATACGTGGGTGCCCTTGTGTTTGGGGCATAAATGTTCAGAATTGAAACTTCATCTTGGTGGATCTTTCCTGTGATGAGGATGTAATGCCCTTCTTGATCTCTTTTGATTGATTTTAGTTTAAAGTCTATTTTGCTGGATATCAGGATGGCTACACCCACTTGTTTCTTAAGACCGTTTGATTGGAAAGTCTTTTCCCAGCCTTTTTTTCTTACGTAGTGTCTACCTTTGAATTTGAGGTGTGTTTCTCGTATACAGCAGAAAGATGGGGTCCTGCTTTCGTATCCATTCTGTAAGCCTGTGTCTTTTTATAGGTAAATTAAGTCCATTGATATTAAGGAATATTAATGACCAGTGATTGTTCATTCCTGTTATTTTTTGGTGGTAGTGTGTGTGTACTTCTCTTCTTTGGGGTTTACTGCTGTGGCTTTATCTATTGCCTGTGTTTTCGAGGGTGTATCTGACTTCCTTGGGTTGGAATTTTCCTTCTAGTGCTTTCTGTAGGGCTGGGTTTGTGGATAAGTATTGTTTCAATCTGGCTTTGTCTTGGAATGTCTTGTTCACTCCGTCTATGATGATTGAAAGTTTTGCTGGGTATATTAGTCTAGGCCGGCATCCATGGTCTCTTAGTGTCTGCATTACATCTGTCCAGGTCCTTCTGGCTTTCAAAGTCTCCATTGAGAAATTAGGTGTTATTCTGATGGGTTTTCCTTTATAAGTCACTTGGCCTTTTTCCTTTGCTGCTCTTAATATTCTTTCTTTATTCTGTATGTTTAGTTGTTTAATTATTATGTGGCGAGGGGATTTTTTGGGGGGTCTAGTCTGTTTGGTGTTCTATAGGCTTCTTGTATCTTTATAGGCATTTCCTTCTTTAAGTTGGGAAAGTTTTCTTCTATGATCTTGTTGAATATATTTTCTGTGCCTTTGAGTTGGTATTCTTCTCCTTCTTCTATCCCTATTATTCATAGGTTTGGTCTTTTCATGGTGTCCCAAATTTCTTGGACATTTTGGGTCATGACTTTGTTGGCTTTAGTGTTTTCTTTGACTGATGAATCTATTTCTTCTACCGTATTTTCAATGCCAGAGATCCTTTCTTCCATCTCTTGCATTCTGTTGGTTATACTTGCATCTGAAGTTCCCATTTGTTTACTCAGATTTTCTATTTCCAGCATTCCCTCTGTTTTTGTCTTCTTCATTTTTTTTCTATTTCCCTTTTCAGGTCTTGGACTGTTTCCTTCATCTGTTTCATTGCTTTTTCATGATTTTCTTTCAGGGCTTTATTGTTTTCTTCCAGGGCTTTATTGTTTTCTTCTGCTTTATTTGTCCTTTCCTCTAGTTTTTTGTAGTGTTCTTCCCATTTTTTGTTTGTCTTTTCCTCTATATAAGCCTCTACCTTCTTCATGATGTTATTCATAAGGCTATTTTCTTCTGCTTCTTCCAATTTTTGATGTTCAGGTCTAGATGTTGGAGGAGGGCTAGGTTCTGGTGATGCTGTATTGCTCTTCATTTTGTTGTATGTACTTCTGTCTTGACGTCTGCCCATCTCCTTGTGGTTCGTTCTTGGTCTTATCAGCGCATTTGGTCCAGACAGAGCTGACAGATTCAGGAAGTCTCTTTCTCTTGTCCAGATGGGAGCTCTCTTGTCCAGATGGGAAGTCCAGGACAGGATGGGAGCTCTTGTCCAGATGGGAAGTCCGGGGCAGCATGGGAGCTCTTGTCCAGAAAGGAAGTCGGGGGCAGGATGGGAGCTCTCATCCAGAAGGGAAGTCCGGGGCAGGATGGGAGCTGGGCGCCAGACTCTAAGTCTCAGGAAGTGGCTGGGGTCTTGGGTGATGATGGGCGTGGGGGCAGGGCGTGGAGATTGCAGGGTCTGCTGGGGATCTTGGAGAAGGGGAGCCTTCCCGGTAGGGGTGGGGGTAGAAGGGATCCTGCCTGGTGGCCAGAACCTGGGGCCAAGTTGGGCAGGTCTTCCCTGGAGTGGCTGGTGCCCAGGGATGGGATCTAGGCTGAGCCCTGACACTCACCTCTTGTCTAGAAGGGAAGTCCGGGCAGGATGGGAGCTGGGGGCCAGTCTCTAAGTCTCAGGAAGTGGCTGGGGTCCCAATATTACTTTTTGTAACAAACTGGTAGCTATTTAACTTCAAAAGCCAAAGAAATACCATGGCAGAGAAAAATACAAGGATGAAAGAAAGCATACAAGCTTGCAATTTTTAACAAAAACATCCAAGGATATGTGGATTGTTAGGAATTTCAGGGGAATGTTTAAAAAATGTAGTGAAACTTGTTGGACCCCAAAGGTTTAGGGTCTTGAGTGGGTGCCCCAAGAACCCAGACTCCAGTCCAGTTGATGCAATAGCAAGAGGTTTATTAGCAACTGTACAGATGGGCAAACTCTGCTCCTAAGAGCAAGAGTCGCATCTTACTGCAGCCAGTAAGGATGGGGGCTTTTAAAGGAAAAACCCACAAAAGCCATAAGATTACAATTCCCATTCAATTTCGTTTCACAAGATCATGGTCTGATCACAGAGTGGGTACAATCACATCCACATGTACATTCTTCCTGAAACCTCAAGGGGGGTATCAGGGCAGGAGTGGAGTTTACACAAAGGTCACAGTGGTCCTTCCTGGAACACCTGCAACTATCCCAGTCACAGTTGAGCACATCTCTTAACAGAAATCTTTTTACATTGTTACATTGTGGCAGGGGTGATTGAGTAGTGGCTGAGTCAGGTTGCCCTTGGAACTAGATTTTTAGTTTCTCATTTCCTGGGGCTTGGGGGATGTAAGACTGAAGGGTTAGGATCTTTCAAAACTGAGAGATTATAAAAACCGAACAAGATTACTGTTTGGAGTTCAGCCCCAAATGTTCAGTAAGAATTTAGGTCAATATAATTTATATTGTAATATTTATATACTGTTGCATTTATACTTTCATTGTTCAATTCATTGTGCAGCTGAGTTCCACTATGCTGCCCAATAAGCGACAAGTCTCACCTGAGTACAAAGCAATAAACCAAACACTAATGATTTGTTTTTAACCTACTTTCTACAAATATTTCAAGCATCCCCGCCCCCGATCTTAACAAGAGGTCAATGATAACTAAATTGCAGAAAAGAAAAGATTTTCTGAATATCCACTAGAAGATACACAAGGTGGCATTTTATGAACTAATCATGTATTCCATTTGTTTTATCTCCACTGATACTGAATTTTAGGAACAAAGACATATAACTATGCTTTATTACCCTGTTTTGTAAACAGATTGTTCAGAGATTTACAATGATGGATTTAAGCAGAGTGGATTTTACAAGATCAAACCGCTCCAGAGCCAGGCAAAATTCTCTGTTTATTGTGATATGTCCGATGGAGGAGGGTGGACTGTAATTCAGAGACGATCTGACGGCAGCGAGAACTTCAGCAGGTAACTGCTTTTAACAAGTAATTATTTAGAACAGTAGGTATGAGATTTGTGAGTCAGGGCTTCTTATGCCTCCAGTTTAATAATGTGGCGATTTTCCTTTCTCATTTTTAAGTAAGAATACGAGAGTGAGTAAGCTAATCAAGAGAACATTGGAGATGAGAGAATGGGATGAGTGTCATAGGTGCTGCAGGTATCTATTCACATTTTGCTAAAACTAACTTTCAGTTTCAACTTTTTAGGGGTTGGAATGACTATGAAAATGGCTTTGGAAACTTTGTCCAAAACAATGGTGAATATTGGCTGGGTAACAAAAACCTTAACCTACTGACTATGCAAGGTAAGTTTTGCGCTTGCAGATAGGAGGCAGGAGGTCTTAGGCTCCATCCCCAGTACTACAAAACCAACAAAGCCCATGTAGCATTTTCCACTAAATCACAGGCTTATAGAACAAATTCAGTATATATCATGATTTATCAGATGTAATGGTACTTGCTGACCTATAATCTCATTTGTAAAATGCTACTTAAAACAGGCTGAATTGTATTGCAAAATAAATTAAAATAAATTAAAAAAAAAAAAGAAAGATTAAAAAAAAACTAAAAAAAAAAAACAAAAAAAAACAAACAAACAAAAAAAAAAAACAGGCATGAGAGGAAAAGACAGTAGGTTGGTAGGGAATATATATTTTCTCATATATGTTTCCTATTTCTTGAAATGAAATGTGTTGTCAAAATAATTGTTCAAGACTTGAGTGACAATTATATATACATATAATTATATATATCTATAATTTATTACCATAATAATACCAGGTGATAAGCCACTTCAAAACAGTAGTAGTTTGGGGCTAGAGAAATGACTCAGAGTTCAAGAGTTCATATTGCTCCTTCCAGCACCCACATCAGGTAGCTCACAGCTGCCTGTAACCCCAACTCCAGGGAATCCAGCACTCTCTTCTGGCTTCTGAAGGCACCCACACATGTGGTATGACTCACACAGACACACACATATACGCATAAAAATAAACCGTGAAAACACAAAATAGATAACTTAAAGTAAATTATGACCCTCTATACAATTCTCCCCATACATGTTCACTTGTCTATCACCCTCCTTAGCTTACATACAGCTTGAGACTGTAGGCAGTCCCCTTTGGGTCTGATCCTCAATATCTCATACATCCCAGTTGCACTGCATAAGAAAACATGTTAAATCACACTAGCAATGCCAAGGATTATTTATTCCATCCAATCTCAGGTACCTACTGGTCAGTCTGTATTCAAAATAGTCAGTAGAGGACTAATTACAAGGGTCTTTGAGACATAACCCTGGGATGTCAGAACCCCCTCTCCCCCACCGTGATCAGTATTCTCTAAATCTACATAAGGTTTCCTTGCCCTCAACATATAAATTATCCTGGTTTTAAAAGTATTTTTGCCAGGTATGTAAGGTTTATCATGCCTCATTCTGTTTAAGCTATGAAAATCCCATTATGTCAATCTAAGCACAGAGAATTCAAACTTATTTCTCAAGTTATTTTTATGTGTATATTCATGCTTGGGTGGACGTTTTCAACAACAAATTAATTGCCCTTCATCTTTTCTGGCTTGGTGCTGGGTGTTGAAATCAGGCCTTTGCACGTGGTAAGCATGTGTTCTACCATGGATCGACATACCCATCCCTTTCATTTTCTTATTTGGTGTTCAAGCTGGTTACTCTTGGGTAGTACAGAGAAATGTATCTATCAATTTTATTACTTGCAACATATCATAGCTCAAACAAAAGGAATTGCCTCTGTCCTTATATTCTTTAATTATGACAGCAGTTAAGGCTACTCAAATTGCCTCTGAAAATAGCTTTATTACTATTAAATTTTTTTTTGGTGAGAGGAACTGTCTGCGATAAAATTAATCTAGAAATGATCTCTAATTCCAAGTTTATTCACTTATTGACCAAAAAAATTGAGACAGTTATCTTTTTAAAACTGTGTAATATTAGCCGGACAGTGGTGGTGGCGGCGGCGGCGGCGGCGGCGGCGGCGGCGGCGGCGGCGCACGCCTTTAATCCCAGCACTCGGGAGGCAGAGGCAGGCGGATCTTTGTGAGTTCGAGGCCAGCCTGGTCTACAGATCGAGATCCAGGAAGGGCGCAAAGCTACACAGAGAAACCCTGTCTTGAAAAACCAAAAAAAGTTGCAGGTGTTCCAGGAAGGACCACTGTGACCTTTGTGTAAAAAAAAAAAAATGTGTAATATTGTCTCTCCACTAACACATGCACTTTTGGGGGTACCTGACATATCTGATCCTACTCTGCCCACCCAGGTCACAGGCTTGACCCATATGAGCTAAGTTAATGCTTTTAGAGAGCTCCATCTAAAGAAAACCCCTCTCCACACTTGTTCCAGAAATGAGAATCCAGAATTCTCCTCCAAACAGCTTTGAACTTTGGTCCTAAGACCCGTTCAATGCTCTTCTTTTTCTGTCTTCTGAGCCAGAGGGAAGGGTAAGTGTCACAGGCTTTCTTTGGGCCACCAGCCAGCTCCCAAATCATGACACAGTTATGAATGCTTGGCCTTATGCTTGTCCCACTAGCTCTTATAACTAAATTTAAACTGTTTCTCTTTATCTACATTTTGCCTTGGGGCTTTTTACTTTTCTTTCATTCTGTCTGTCCTGCTTTTCCTGCTTCTTCCATGTCTGGCTGTCTGTTTGCTGGCTGGACCCAGGCATCTTCTTCTCTTTCTCCCTTGTTCTCTTCTTTTTCTCCTCCCAAGCCTAGATTCTTTCTCCTCCTTATTCTCTCTGCTGGCCAGCCCCACCTAACCTTCTTCTCTCCAGCTATTAGCCATTCATCTCTTTATTATACTGATCAGATGCCGTAGGCAGGCAAGGTAAAAAAGCATCACATCTTTACATCATTAAACAAATGCAGCATAAACAAATGTAACACATCTTTGACTAGTTAAACAAACATTGCACAGCAGGTAAGGAACAGCTTTTTACAATAAGTGTAGGCAGAGGTAGAATATACAATATGGGTGTCCACAAGGTATGTCCAAGGTATGTCCACATGCACATCATAGGAGATGGGGTGCCAACCATAGTCTGGACTGAAGGGTTCTGTTTATTTGCACTTGAAACTGCAAGAAATCTGAAACTCTAAATTCTACCTTCCTGTGAGGTTATTGTGGCATTTTATTGAACAAAATAGGAAGGTAAAATATATGTTACCTAGTAGTTTTATTTCTAATTTTCATTTTGAGACAAGGTCTCACTATGTATCTAGGTTAGCCCAGAACTTGCTTTATAGATCAGGTTGGCCTTGAACTTGTCATAATCCTCCTGCCTCTGCCTCCCTAGTGATAGGAACAGAAGTGTGTGCCACCGTACCCATCTAATTTCTAACATTTGACCACAGTTCTACTTGAGGAGGAAGACCGGCCTGTTGTTCACAAACAGGGACAATGGGAAAGGGGAAAGGGGGTGACTTTATGTAGCAACTATTTCACTAATTTGTTTCACATAATGTTTTCTATCACATAGAATTTTTACAGTCATCATAGTATCTCTTTTTATATTTAGAGGTTTTCAACATGTATCATTTTTAGCATACACAAATAAGACAATATGCCAAATAAATTAATTTTGTTTTAAATATTTCCCCATTGGCTAGGAACTCCAGAAAACCTTCTTGATGCAGAGTCTGATGTCAGTGTGTTTATAGTGATAGTCACCTTTCTACACCATGAAGCGGGCGTAGGGCAGAATTCTCTAGGTGCTCCTCAATGCTCTCTTCCAGTGACATATGTTCCCCAGGCTTTGATGCTAGCAAAGGAAGGTTTTCATAAAACAACCAGGATTCTTGTTTCTTCTTCAAATGGTTCTTAGACAGTTTGCTAGCTGATAACTTATTCTGCCACAAAAAACAACCAGGTTCATACATAAGCAGGGGATGGTGACTATATTATGAAACACAGCCAGGATACTAGGGGTTATAAGGTGTTGTTAATAGTGATTAAGTCTTAAAAAGTTGATTGTCGCTGGGCGGTGGTGGCACATGCCTTTAATCCCAGCACTTGGGAAGCAGAGGTAGGTGGATCTCAGTGAGTTCAAGGTCAGCCTGGTCTACAAAATGAGTTCCAGGACAGCCAGGACTGTTATACAAAGAAACCCTGTCTCAAAAAACAAAAACAAACAAACAAAACAAACAAACAAAAACTAGATTCTTAAGAAATTAAGAAAAAAGGAATACACATAATTCTTAAAATTCCCATTTTCATCACCTCCACCCCCGCCCTTGAGTTTTTTTGAGATAGAGTTTCTCTGTGTAGCCTTGGTTGTCCTGGAACTCACTCTATACACAGGCTGGTCTTGAACTCACTGCCTCTGCCTCCTGAGCGCTGGGATTAAAGGTGTGCGTCATCACTGCCCGGCTAGGTTTCTTAATCTATTAACTAAATAATAACATTTTCTGTTCTTTATGAACTGAATCATACATTATTTTTGGATTTGTTTTTATTCTTTAGACAGGAGAATTTTTCCACTTTGCTATTTTGCTGTCATTTTCAAGTAAAATAAACAATAAAATGCTCACATTGTATTATTACACTGGAGTCACGGTTTATTCTCTCTTTCTTAGCAGAGGAAATGGTAAAAGCAAACCAAAACTGCAATTTATTTTTAAACCTAAAGTCATTATCATGTCATGCATTTAAAAAAGAAAAACAATAACAATTTCTTATTGTTTCTGTTGGCTTTTTTTTTTTTAGGAGACTATACTTTAAAAATTGACCTGACAGATTTTGAGAAAAATAGCCGCTTTGCACAATACAAACATTTTAGAGTTGGCGATAAAAAGGTACTAAAAGATTTATAAAGACAATGTCTTAAGTTAACACTGAAACTGTGCAATGAAGCCCTGAAAGTCTGTAGAAATAAAAAATACATAATATAGCCTGTGCTGTTTACTTAACCTATTTTTCAAATGTTTTCCACTGATGGTGAAAAATGCCTCTTTTTTTCCCCCCCCTCAGTCCTCTTACGAGTTGAACATTGGAGAATATTCTGGAACGGCTGGGGACTCCCTTTCAGGGACTTTTCACCCTGAAGTGCAGTGGTGGGCTAGTCACAAAAGAATGAAGTTCAGCACGTGGGACAGAGATAATGACAACTACTATGAAGGGAACTGTGCCGAGGAGGAGCAGTCAGGCTGGTGGTTTAACAGGTTTGCTGCTTGACACACACAGCTGGGAGGGTGATAATGATATCTCACCAGCGGGCACTAATTATAACAAGTGAGGTAATGTTGACCCTATGTGTGATAGTGAGTAATCCTTACTAGGATTCTTCAGCCGTGAGGTGCTTTTAAGGACTTGTTCATGGTGTACATTAGTAAAGCCTGAGCACTACACAACAGAAGTTGAGTATGATGCCACTTTCCTATAATCCCACAGCACTTGGAGGCAGGGACAGAAGATCACCACAAGTTCAAGGCCTGTCTAGTCTACATAGCAACTTCAAGGCTAGCCCGGGACACTTAACAAGATCATGTATTGAAAACATACATAGAGACACAGACACAAACACACACAGACACAGACACACATAGACACACAGATATATACACACACATATACACACACCAAAACCAAAGATTCTCCAGTAATATGTCATGGAAATAAATCAAATTTCTACTTATACAAGGATTTTTTGCAAAATGCATTACTGTAAAGTTATAACCAGAAGGCCACAAATTGACATAAGGAAGTGGAGAGCATGCACACATGTACATATTTGTCAGCCAGGTGTGATGGCTTACATCTGTAATCCTGGCACTTGGGAAGATGAGGCCATGATGGGTTATATGACGTCTCGGCCAGCTGGACCTTGTCTTAAAAATAAATAAATAAATAAATAAATAAATAAATAAATAAATAATAATAAATAATAAATAAAAAGCATCATGAACTGAGCTTAGACCCAAGGTGATTTTTAATTTGCTTGTTTTTATAATAAAGATTTTTTTAATTTTAAAAAGAAAGAGAAGAGGAGGAAGGGAGGAAGGAATCTGTGGCACTCTATTTACCAACTAGCTTTTCACTATCTCATTTTATACAAAAGAACTCTATTACTGCTATAATTTTAGTACTACTCTTCACTCATTGTGCCTCCTATTAGTTCATTTAATGCAATCCTTCCCAATGTAGGAAAAATTGCTACAATATTCTTGATACTTAATCCTACCCCAACACCGCTGTTTGAATACTTCAACATCATCATCAAGCTCATTCTTTTGAATGTGGAGGGCCTGGGAGACTGGGTTCTGAGGATCAAATCCTGGGCCTTGTGCATGATAAACAAGTACTTTACCTCTGAGGTACACCCTAGCTTCATTTCATTTCTGATGATACACAGTTCTTCATTTTATAAGCCTGAGATATGCTTCCTTTTTAATTTTTATTTACTCATTTTTTTTTTATTTGGTTTTTTGAGACAGGGTTTCTCTGTGTAGCTTTGGAGCCTGTCCTGGAACTCACTCGGCAGACCATGCTGGCTTCACAGAGATCCGCCTGCCTCTGCCTCCTGAGTACTGGGATTAAAGGCGTATGCCACCACCGCCCGGCTCTTTTTTTATTGTTGTTCTCCCACATACACACTTTTTTTTGAGACAGAAGCTCATGTAGGCCAGGTTGGCCTCAAACTCACTGTACAGCAAAGAATGACTTTGAACCCCCGATGTCACTGACTACCTCCCAAACGCTGGAACTGCAGACCCGACATGTAGCCCTCACTGTGCCTAGCTGAAATCTGCTTTCTTGCTAGGTCAGTAGCTAGAGAGGAGCTGCAGTCCCATGTCAACACAATTCTTCAGGCCTTGAGTGAGAAGGAATGCATTGTGTCATTTAGAGTTCTCCTGTCTCCGGACCAAACGTCCCTGCTTCCTGTATAGCTGTTTTCCAAGCTGCGTTTTTGTTGGATCATCCAGTTAAGGCAGGGATGGAAACTTCACGCAGTTTTCCTTAAAAATGACCCAGTTGGCCTGATACATCTGCAGGGCACGTGTGGGACTTGTTAGATAAAGCATCAACTTTGGAATCTTCTTTTTTCACTAGAAAACAGGAGCCACCTCAAAACGTCTAGACAATCAAACTTTCCGTGAAGAAGTCTTTGGCAATTTTGGAGTGTCGTGTTTTTTCATAAAACTGGACTAGCCATGTAAATCCCATAATCTTTATATTTTTTTCTTAATGTGATGAAAGCATCTTAGACTCTCTATGCTATGAGTGGATCTATTCTATACTTGCTAAAATTAGACTCTATATGAGTGGATCTATTCTATACATGCTAAAATTAGAATCTATGCGCCCTGAATGGATTTTTCTATACATGCTAAAATCCCGTAAAACCATGAGAGTCTTCATTATGACATCGCTTGTTGTGATTTGTTGGCTTTTAATTAATTATTATTTTTTGGTTTGTGTACTTGAGACATGGTTTTACCATGCAGTGCAGTCTGCAGTCTGTCCTCAAACCCGTGGCAACCTGGTGCTGGGATTATAGGTGGAAGCAGCCATACCTGGCTGACTTTAGAGTGGGGGATTTCAGTGCAGGTGCAATGAATTTAAGGTATTTCCATCAGTTAAAATAAGTGTGTGCAGTTGTGAGAACAGTAGGCTTCCCGCTGGGTTTTACTTTTCCAAAATTTGAGTCTATTTAACAGTTGGCCATTTATTAAGGAAATGGAGTCACACAACAGTGTGAAGGGACAGAGAAGGAAAATCATTAAATCATTTTTCCTACTGTGCTAACGTGAAACATGGTGAAAACCTTTTTCCCTCTTAGCTTTCTTGTTCTTAAAAAAAAAAAAAAATTGCCGGGCGGTGGTGGCGCACGCCTTTAATCCCAGCACTCGGGAGGCAGAGCCAGGCGGATCTCTGTGAGTTTGAGGCCAGCCTGGGCTACCAAGTGAGTTCCAGGAAAGGCGCAAAGCTACACAGAGAAACCCTGTCTCGAAAAACCAAAAAAAAAAAAAAAAAAAAAAAAAAAAATCATTCCCTTCTCCTCCTCTTCCCTTTTAGTTCCTCTTCTAAGTAAGCATCATTTAATGCTTACCTATAATTAACAGTGTCAGCTTTGAACATTTATTGATGTCTGATTTTGAACAGACTTAAAGAAATCATCGTTAATATTGCCGAGATCTAAAGTGTGTTAATATTACTGAGATCTAAAGTGTGTACATCATCCAGGTGGTTAGATTGCTCTACTCCTGATTGGCAGTTGTACACATATTAAGGAAGGCAAATAAACGATATGGTTGACTCTAGAAACAGGGGTTTGGGAGAACAAAAAAGGCAATTTAGTAGCAGGAGCTACCAAAGAAAAAGAGGTCACCCTAGAGAGAAAGTAAATTGTTCCAGAAATCTGGTCTTAACTCTTCGTTTTCCAGTGTCACATTCTAATTTACGGGAATTGTTGGCACTTCTTAGTGTTTCTCGCGACTGAGGCTGGAACTGCAACGCCCCCTATAGGCTTATGTATTTATAGTCCAACCCCGCCCAGGTCGGAGCCCTCCATTTCCTACTGAGTCGTCTGAAAAACAGCCGCCATGCGTTCCTGCCACGGATGCTTACACCCTATGCTTTTTCCCCCGGGAAAGACTCTAACCCCCTGATTCAGGAGCCAACATCAGTCCTTCCTCCCTTAAGTTGTTTTTGTGTGGTATTTGGTCACAGCCAAGAGAAAAAAATAACTAAAACACTCTTTGCTGCCTCCCTCTCCTCTCTGGTCTCATACTTTAGGCAAGTCGTGTCCCTCCCCCTCTTCCCCACTCCCATCTGTCCCCCCAAGTGCCTCTTTACCTGGGAGCACCAATCTTTAATAACTAGTGTCAAGTCCAGGCTAGAAACTGAAGGATACTGGAACACTGGTCTCAGAACTCTGAGTAGTATAGCCCATTTCTCAATAGGCTCCAAATCAGACCAGATATAATAGTTTCTCTCTTTAAAGATATGCCCAAATATTTATTCTGGGTATTCTGGAGGTCTTTCTTTTTAAATGTGACTTCTCCTGGTACTTTAAAAACACAGTGGATACTGAATCCCTGCAGATTTAGCATGCATGGTTTCAATTAGTCCTAATCATTTAAATTAGGAGCAGTGCCAGGATGGTCAAGGAAAGCAAATCACAAGCTCAGTGATCCAAGCCTGCTGCTTTGCATTTATGAATGAATTATCTGCTTTTCTGATTCAATGGTTTTTTTTTCCAGAACTACTTCTGAGTATTCTTCGCATAGCCTACAGTCTGATATCTTTTCATAAATTACATCAATAAATAATATATGGTGATTAATCTCATAACAGGAAAATGACCACAAACTGTTACACGAAATTTATGTATGCCAAGGACAGACAAGTGTGCAGATACCAAAGGAGGAAGAAGGAAATGTTTACATTTTATAATAACCTAACAGACCTATCTAGATTCGTGCAGTATATGTAAAAAATTAACCTGGCAACTCAAACAAAAGATTGTTTGCTGACAGCTAGGAAGTTTTTTATAAGGAAGTTTAGGTTCTGTTTGCTTATCTTGAAGATTCAAATATTTGATACACTAACAATCAAAGAAGGTAAAGAAGGGAATTTGAGTCATGAAAGCCACATCTTGACTGTAGATTGGTGAGCTTGGTAGCACAAGCTGCCCAGGAAGCTGTAATAGAACCATTTGTCCACATCCTACTTTGCTAATCGCGCCATCTTGGCCAAGCATGAGGTTAACACCGTTCAACCAGGAGGATATAGATGAAGGTTACAAAACAGTTTTTCTTTGTTTCTTTTTCTTGTCTGTTTAAAGGTGTCCTAGTCAGGGTTACTATTGCTGTGAAGAGACACCATGACCATGGCAACTCTTATAAAGGAAAGCATTTAATTGAGGTGACGGCTTCCAGTTTCAGAGGTTTAGTCCATTACCATCATGGCGGGAAGCATGGCAGCATGCAGGCAGACATGGTGCTGGCTACATGTTGATCAGAAGGCAACAGGAAGTAGTCTCACCTTCACACTGAGCAAAAACGTGAGCAAAGGAGACCTCCAAGCCTGCCCCCACAGTGACACACTTCCTTCAACAAGGCCACACTTCCTAATAGTGCCACTCCTTATAGCTTATGGGGGCCAGTTACATTCAAACCACCACAAAAGGCTACTAAGAACTGCAACGGCTATTTTTCAACACACTCCAAGTGGTCTGGGATGGATCCTCACACTTACCGTGGGACCAAAACTCACCTGTTTAAACAATAACACTCACGTGTATAAAGGTCTCAGGTTTGGAAAATGATGTTTTTCTGGGAAACGGCAGGAGTCATCATCTAAACGTTTTGATCATTTTTTAGTGAGCTTCAGTTTCTGATGTATACTTTCCTTCTGATTGTTCTGTTTTCTTTTCTTCTCCCACTAGGTGTCACACTGCAAACCTGAATGGTGTGTACTATCAGGGCCCCTACACAGCGGAAACGGATAATGGGGTTGTCTGGTACACCTGGCATGGGTGGTGGTATTCCTTGAAGTCTGTGGTTATGAAAATTAGGCCAAATGACTTTATCCCAAATATCATTTAGTTGTTCCCACTGGGCTCTTCTTTCTGCAATCCATCTTGTTTCAAAATAGTTGAGAAATACAATCCTGAATAAATATATGCATGGTGATGGCAATTATGTATGACTACTTCTCATTCTTTATACCGCCTTTATTACTTAATGTACTTTAAAGTTCAGTAGGTACAGACTATCCACCAAATAAATGTAGATTATGTTAATGTTTACTGAGTTCCTCTGTGTATAGGGGTATGATAAAAGTTCAAATTGTATAGGAGGGGTTTGCTTTCCTGAGTTTGGAGTTGCACAGGCTGTTTGCAACGATATTGGTTTAGTATGGTCGCCCGTAAGAGCTTTAAGTCGCTCGTCCAGCTGCAACAGCAAGAAGGGACTTCATTTAAAGTGGTCGGAGACTCTAGCAAGCTGCCCAAGTGGTTCCATACCGAGCATCTGGATGATCCAGAAACAGTGTACGTGGATGCTTGGCTCGTGGAAAAGATGTTTGGTAAGGATGGAGAGTACATCCCGCATGTGGAGTGTGTGACACGTACCGTGCTTCACGTGAACCAGTGGAACCCTGAAGCAGAAGCTGAGATTTTGATATTCGGGCCTCCTGATTACCAAAAGAACGTTTCCCAGATGATCTGGAACTTGGTTGACTATTTCTGCAAAGGAAGACTGTTCTCAAGAGACTAAGACCCAGTGTCTTCCTGTGGCGGTTCGGGAGGCTGCCACCCAGCTGGCTCCCGTGGAGGTCCCTGAGTTTGCACCCCCAGCCGTCTCCAGTGGAGGGCACTGAGGCTGCCCCCCAGCTGCCTCCTGTGGAGAACGCAGAGGCTGCCACTGAGCTGTCTCTGGTGGAGGATGGTGATGCCACCCAGCTGGCTCCGGTGGAGGACGGTGTTGTCACCCAACTGGGTCCTGTGGCGGTCCATGAGGAGGCTAGTGAAGCTGGCAAAACCCATACTTCAGGGGAGGTCCATCAGGATGTCACTAAGCAGTCTCCCATTGAAGTCTGTGAGGCTGACACCCTCCCTAGCAGCACTCTGTAGAGGTCTCTGAGGTGGTTCTTCGCAGGGGTCGCGGGTTTGGGGATTTACCTGTTGGGGGGTACCCAGAGTTCTCCAGTGGAGAACCATGAGACTGGAGCCCAGCAGTCTTTGGATGTTAGTATTGAGCCTCCAAAGGCTGCCTGGAAGCCAGTTACCTCCTTATAAAGGTGACTCAGGTGTTGAACCAGGATAAATGTACACACCTCTAATCCCAGCACTGGGAGGCAGAGGCAGGGGGTCCCTAGTTCCAGGCTAGTCTGGGATGAATGAGGCAGGGATCTTTAATCCCTGCCGAAGTCTCCTGACATCTTTTTCTGATTGTTTCACCCTAGAAGTTGGAAGAATGGAGTAGGATTGTTTGTTTTCCCCTTGTGTTCAGTGTTTGCAAACACATTTGAAAATATTCCAATAAAGAATTTCACCCCCCCAAAAAAATTGTATAGGAAACAGCATAGACTAATTAACATGATTAAGTAATAACACAAGCCTAAATTTGTAATAATAAATAATGTATGGCTGTGTGTGGTAGTGCATGCCTTCAAACTCAGTGCTTAGGAGGCAGAGACAGGTGGATGTCTGAGTTTGAGGCCAACCTGGTCTACAGAGTGAGTTCCAGGACAGCCAGAGCTATACAGAGAAACCCTGTTTCATAAAAACCATAATAAATAAATCATGTATGGTGCAGCTGATAGAGCATGAGACAAAGCACAGCTAATGAAGGATATTTTGGCCAAATCTACTGTATAGATAAGTATTACAAGTTGGGCTTTGGATTCAGGTCTCTGACTACAGAACTACAGAACTGTTAATCACAGTGCAGGTTCTTAAATGATATAAACACTGCTCATGTCTTCAGGATATTTCCATACTTTACATCTTCCTTCACAGGCCTCATTTTACACTGGATGTTGGTCGATGGTGGAGAAACAACCAGAGGTCTCATCTTCCTTCATATGTCAGCCCTGGGAAGATATTATTATTGCCGTTTAACTGAGCTAAGACTTTCTGAGTTCTGGTTAATGCTCGAAGTTATAAGGTTGGCAAAGAAGCAAAAACTCAGATCCAATGGTTTGGTGCAAAGTGAAATTATTTGACACCATCTTGTGGCTCTTTTGGAATGAATCTGGATTAGTGTTTTTAAGTGTGGATAAAAGAAAGATCTTCCAAAAACTGCTTGCGTGCTAACTCTGTCAGGCCCAGAAGATGCAGCTTGAGCTCAGACAGCTAAATTAGGGGGGAAAGACATACACCAATCACATACTGTAAGCATTTTTGCCGCTGAGGCCATCATAGGCAGGTCAGCAAGATGGCCGCCTCCCGCTGGTGCCAAGAGAACCAGTTCCGTAATCTTACTGCCTCTGAATAATTTGGCATCTTCGACCTATTGGAACTGCCAAGAATGCCTGGCTTCACTCTGCACTGTGGCCTGTTCATTTTAGACATAGCCAGAGAGCAGTGATGTCCTCAGCTCCCAGACTTGTCACATCTGTCAGATACCTAACATGCAGACACACTTGCAACAATCCTTAATACCGTGTCCCCTCTTGGTTCCCAGTATCCTGACTGTCAGTCAGAACTGTAGCATACAACCTGACATGAAAAGGCAAGAGAAACATGGTAAAGGCAGCCATCCATCAGTTCCTCTGCCTTCATTCTGGCCTCTCGCTAAGGAGAAAGGCTAGTTATAGGAGAAATGATAGAAAATGTCAAAGAAATGCTTGAGAGGGCAAGTGTTCGGCAACAAGACCCATAGTAAGTTCTTAGATGAAATGAGGATGACTTTTTGGAAGTGGGTGACTGGCTTGCTGCTGATCCTTACTAGAAGTGCTATGATCTAACGAACCTGAAGGTATAGTTTGAAACTCTCGCAGTTTCCAAATTGTAGAATGTGATTATTTGTATACATGTATACATGCAAAAGAGGTATGCACTGACCTTGGTGTGAATTGTGCCAACTGATGGGTAAACATAGACTACTAACATTATACTTATGAAGGTTTTAAAACTGAGTAGTGTAAATATTCCTAGAGTTGGTCAAAGATCTAAAAGCTAAGAAAGAGAATGAATATTTTTAAAAGATGGTAAGTAGGAAGTAGAAATGTGGGCCTTGATGGCTGTATGATATAAAGCAGGGTCCTGACCTGGTAGAGGTGGAGGTGAGGTGGCAATCAGAGAGACTTAGAACTTTTGAGCTGAAGCCTAAACTAGATATATGTGGGGAAATCATTGCAGGCTGAGGGAAACCTAATGCAAAACACACAAAATAAGGGTATGCAAAGGAAAAAAATGAAGGTTAAAGAAGTAATATAGTTTACTGACCCTTAATTGCGTATGTTATAGCAGGTTTACAGCTTCTGCTCTACAGCATCGTGGCCTTGGGTAGGCTGCTGATGTCTCCAGGCCTTAGTTATTCTATCTATAAAACAGAATGTAGGGTTGCTCATAGAGTTATACAAGGGAAACAGCATAATCAATGCACAAGGTCAGCGTTCAGGAAGAGCTGGTGGTGATGATAGTGAAGTGGGCATTAAAGAAAAATGCTAGGAGCCTTTGGAAGGTGTTAAAGCATCATGTCAAATTATCCTCTAAACAGTTCTTCCCAAAGTGGCATTTCTTTTTTAATTTTTTTTTGTTTTTTCGAGGCAGGGTTTCTCTGTGTAGCTTTGTGCCTTTCCTGGAACTCCCTTTGGAGACCAGGCTGGCCTCGAACTCACAGAGATCCTCCTGGCTCTGCCTCCCGAGTGCTGGGATTAAAGGCATGCGCCACCACCGCCCAGCCCAAAGTGGCATTTCTTAACCTTCAATGCCATCCAAATCACTGGGGCTCTTGCAGACACATAAATTCTAATTCAGGGCAGGGCTTAAAATTTGGGTTTCCCAGCCCATGGTTGTACATGCCTATAATTCCAGCATTCAGGAGGTAGGGGCAGTCAGATTATGGCTTTGAGGCCAGCTTGGGACACACAGTGAGATAGTGAGTGCCAGCCTGGAACACATAAGGGAAATATTGTCTCGAAAATTCTGAACCTTCTGACAAGCTCCCAGAAGCCATAGATGTTACTGGTCTAGGAATGAAGCTCTGAAAAATAAGAGTGTAGTGAAATCATAGTTTCTTGGGATGTTAATGTCTAGTACAGGAGAAAAGGCTACCTAAACAAATTTAGGCGATATAAGAAAACTCAACAGATTTTTCAGATCCTTAAATATGTACATTCTGAAGTTCTAGTTCAGAAAAATTTAGCTTCAGGGTATAAATAAGTCACCTGATTATAGATGTCCAAACAAATAGGAATCCATTCTTCTTATCTAATGAGACCTCAGAAGAGAGTCGATTGCTAGCCTAGGTTCAAAGGACTATAAGACAGAAGCTGTCGTCTCTGCAACGCATCTAGTCCCCTCTTTAAAGCTCAATTTGTCCATTTTAGTTCTGCTTTGGATGTTAAAAATCAGAAAGAATCAACACTTTTAATTTCTGTCTTATTGGCTGGACTTGAGTCATGTTGTTGGAGAAGAAAATAATCTAGGTGACAAACTAAGGAACACATGAACAAACCAAAAGTAGTTTGGCAAGATGATTTCATCTTGTACCAAAGGTATACCAGAACCCAGATCAGGCTAGAGACCCACTTCCCAGAATGGCCTCAGAGCGAGATAGTGAGTGTCAGCCTTTGACACAGGCAGAGAATGATTACTTCTCATCCTACTGGTGGAAGCTCAACTTCTCAGTTTGATGTGCTTGGCTAATGTGAGCCAAGGAAAAGGAGTGGAGTGCTGTGGGATGGTCTGTATGGCAAATGTGTTGCTGATCAGTCAATAAATAAAACACTGATTGGCCATTGGCTAGGCAGAAAGTGTAGGCGGGACAAGGAGGAGAATAAAGCTGGGAAGTGGAAGGCTGAGTCAGAGAGACCCTGCCAGCCGCCATGATGAGAAACAGCATGTGAAGATGCCGGTAAGCCACGAGCCATGTGG